GAACTCCTGAGCTCAAACAATCCGCCCGCCTCGGCCTCCCAGAGAGCTAGGATTACAGGCGTGAGCCACCATGCCCAACCCATTTACTCTTGAATATAACTCTACTTCATCTCCTTCACTGATTTCTTTTTTTATATCAGGTGGTAGTGGGCATCTAACTTCATTAAATGGAACCTGGTGTTCTGGTTGCCAATTATTTTCAAAAACAACTGTGAGGGAGTGTTCATGAACATCTTTGATAAATCCAATGTAGAAAGCCCTGTGGGAACCGCAAACCTCCACTGTCATCTCCGCTATGTCAGCTCTGTCAAAGGCTGCTCCTAGTGTAAATTTTTATAGGAGTCGGCTCTCCATTGCTCCAGGACTTGGCTAGGAGACCTTGAATGTCCAGGCCTGTCTGGTTTCTATAAGTTAATATATGTCTATGATGTGAATTAGCACACTCTAATTTCTGGTGTCCTTGTACACTGTGAAACCTGAACACTCTCATGCAGTGGCCTAACTCCTAATCATTCTTTTTTCATTAGACAGTTGTTAAATGTCTACCTGCATGTAAAGCCCTGTACTTGGCATTATGGGACATTCAAAGACACCCATTCTTATTGTCAGGAAACAATTTCTAGCAGGAAAAACATGAACATGAATAGCTAAAGATACAAAGTGATATGTTCTATAAGAGAAGTAATGAAAAACTGCTATATGAATTCACAAGAGGAAATGCTTATTTTATTTATTATTTTTTTGAGACAGAGTCTTGCTCTGTTGCCCAGGCTGGAGTGCTGAGGCATCAGCCTAGCTCACAGCAACCTCAAACTCCTGGGCTCAAGTGATCCTCCTGCCTCAGCCTCCTGGGACTACAGGCATGTGCCACCATGCCCGGCTAATTTTTTTTTTATATATGTATTTTTAGTTGTCCAGATCATTTCTTTCTACTTTTTAGTAGAGACGGGGTCTCGCTCATGCTCAGGCTGGTCTCAAACTCCTGACCTTGAGCGATCTACCCGCCTCGGCCTCCCAGAGTGCTAGGATTACAGGCGTGAGCCACCGCGCCCGGCCCAGGAAATGCTTATTCTAGTTTGGTTAATTAGAGAAAATTTCATGAAGGAGGTAGCATTTGAGGAGTGGCTTGGAAGGTGGAATTTGGATGTGATGAGATGGAAACAAGAATATCTGGAAGGAATAGTGTGATGTGAAGGTGTAGTACAAACATGGAAATAGTGAATACTTAAATTTGGCAAAGTCTAATGTATTGATTTTGAACTCTGCCTTAGGCTGCTGAAGGGATGTAAAGCTATTACAGTGGTTATCCAAACTACTGGCCAACTACAAAAGGAATGAAAAATTTCTTGAATGTTTATGTACAGCTATTCAAAAAATGTATACTTTTTATTACTACAACATAAATTCATTTAAAACATTACTGAATTCACAATGGGACTTTGTTATTATGTACTTTCTAAGTCAACAAATACCAAGGGTACAATTACTATAATAAGCTAGTTCAAGAAAATTTTCAGTGTTAAAAAAGGAGTTCTTGATGGGTTCTGGAGTTAAATAAACCTTTATCAAAACTCTGTCACAAATCAGTTGTGTGGTACTGGACAAGTCTTTTTGAGTTCTTCATTTCAAGAGTGAGGACTACAAAGCCAACCTTGCTTGTTTTGATGATTAGATGGAATATTGTAGGTGCTTGGCAAGTGCCAAGTATTGTAAATTGAAAGACTGAGGTCAAATCAGAGTCCACCATGAAGTCCACCAAGCTACGGAACTGGTATTTTTTTCTTGGGCATGATAGTTGCTGAACAGTTTTGTCTTAGTGACAAGAAAATCAAGAAATAAGTTAATAATATACTTAAACCTAAGGCATGAAACAATAAGAATTCA